AATATAAATAAGCACCAGAACTGTGTAGAGTGACTTCCTAGCCCTTTCCCAAAGCCTAATGGACCAAAAATGAGTCTTTAGGACATCTAGCCCCCCTCTCCACACTCCTAAGCCAACCGAAGGTTAATCTGTAAAGAGGTAAACTGATCTGTGCTAATAAAAGTTATTAAGCAATCAAAAATGTTAATAATTTAATCTCCAAACACGCCCAAAGAGTTTTTTTGAGCATCCTGTACTTATTATATCCTGCCTTATCTCTAGGAGTTCAAGGTGGCCTCTGCGGGGATCTCCCTTTATTTTATTTCCATAATAACTCTGTGAGATAGGTTGGGCTTCGGGGGACACTGGCCCAAAGTCACATGATCAGTTTCCATGGTTGAAGTGGGTCCTACTCCAACTTTTTAAGCACTACAGCTTACACTATAGCTCAGAGCAGTGTTCCTCAACCTTGTCAACTTTAAGATATGTGGACATTAACTCCCAGAATTCCCCAGCCAGCATGGCTGGCTGGGGAATTCTGGGAGTTGATGTCCACACATCTTAAAGTCGCTAAGGTTGAGAAACACTGTTCAGGGCCCTATTTATGCAAAACTACTGAGCAAAAACTTCCAAACAGACTGGCTTAATGTAACAATATTTCAGCCAGCCTTCCCTATTCAGTGATCTTGGAAGGAAGAGGTAATCTGGAAGTGAGCAATTATTTCCACTTGTCCCTCGTGGTTGAAGGATCAACCAAGATGGGAGTGAGAGGCCAAAAAAGGCATCACGCATGACAAACCAGACAAATAAAATGGAAAATGAACATACCATATAAGAGAGGATCCTCATAGGAGCAGTTTGGGAGATAAATCAGAACAAACGACAGAACAGTAACGCCAACTACTGCAATAACCAGAGGGCTGCAAGGAGAAAGAAACAACAAACACAGAGGTAAATGCTAAAGAAATTAATTAAAAAGCCACTATTTGGGGCTCTCCATATTCCCAAACTGCACCACCTCTGCAGGATCCAGACACTGGAATTTTAAATTAAATTTAAATTCCATGCAATTTCCTCAGATGGAATGCAAACAGAGATGCTTACAGGGAGAGGGGTCAACAAGTAAAGATGGCAACCACCAGGGCCCCCATTCCCACCATGGACCCCCATTCCCACCATGGACCCCCATTCCCAGGACCTGGCTTGCATTCAGGGGTGTCCATGGGGTGGGTGGGGTAAACTAAGTCAAGATGGAGACCACCACTATGTGTTCAAAGGCCCACCCCTTTTACATGATGCACATGAAAAGGGGGGGGGCTTTGATTACATGGTGGTTGCCACCATCTTGCCTTTTTCAACCCCCTCATGGACACCGCTGAATGTAAACCAGGTCCTGGGAATGGGGAAGGGGAAGGGAAAAGGAGGTGCAGAAAAGATTCCAGAGCCCTGAGAAACAGGGAAGTGTGAGAAAGAGACTCAAAAGGATCCCACCTTGATTTTGTTAGGTATAAGATGGAGTAGAGAGAAACTCCAGCAGGCTTTCAAGATTTCGTTACCACAATAAAAAGCTGTGACAGTTTCTTGGCCTGGCCTACTTTACATTTCCCCTCTCCTTTTCTCCTTAAAATGTTTTGAAAGAACCTATAATTTCACATGATTAGCTCACCTATGTTCATATTGTCTTTCCCTATAGGTGACTGAAAAGAACAATGCAGTGAGGATAATAACAGAAAGCAGGGATAAAATGACCTCAACAGGTAACACCATCTAGCTGACCTTGGCTGATCTAGGAAGCTAAAGAGGACTGATTTTGGTTAGCAGTTGAAAAAGAGACCACTAGGAAATCCCACAGATATAAGCTACATGGGGAAGTTAGGAAAAACACTCTGGGGGAAGGCCATGGCAAACAAGATTGGTGTTGCTGCCAAGAGAACTTTGAATCCCCAGAACCAAGTTCAACTTGAAGGGGCCCTGTCTTTATGAACCACAAATTTGAAAGATTTTTTCCTTCTCTCTTTTTTTAATTATTATGTGAACAGTTGGTCTGGAGTCAGGTGGTGCTGCAATCAAATCAAACAGATCAGAAAGGTTGCAACAGGTTGACAGGAGAAGACTTAATCCCAATTAGGCCTCATTGACTGTATTCACACAACATGTTTAAGCAGTTCAGTTAAAAAACCAGAAACTGCATTTGGACAATGTGCTGATTAATGTTAAGCTAGGTTTGGTGGTTTGTTTGTGGCTTTCTAAGCTGTTTGGTTAGCTAAAATTCAATTTTATGGTGCAAATCCAAGAAATGGGGTACTGTAATTCAGGAACTAGCTTAAGGAAGTTGTATGAATACAGCCATTCCTTCTCTTCCTTGTGACCAAGTGACCCAATCAAACTATGGGAGGTATTGAGAGGGGTAATGTAAGCCCAGAGGGGGAAAAATCCTGATGAGTGATTGACATCTGTCACGTTTGTGGTTATTTTAAGGGTGGAGGATAATACATACCAAACTGGCTTCAAATGGCAATTTGGGGCTGCTTACAAAAAATGTGTGATATAAAACAATCTAAAACATCCAGCTTCTTCCAGAATATCAAACTTTAAAAAACCTCTCCTAACTGCAATACTGGGCTCCCAATTATGAAATTCTGTCTCCTGCTTTTCCTCCATACAGTTTTGGATGCATTTAAGAAACATTTGAAAACTTATGATTTAATGAAGCAGACTGATTGTGGGAGCAATTGTCAGCTGATGTCGAGAATGGCAGTAGGGCTGTTTTGCTGTAAATCTGATAGTTAGAACACTGTTTCTCAACCTTGGCAACTCTAAGATGGGTGGACTTCAATTCCCAGAATTCCCCAGCCAGCCATGCTGGCTGGGGAATTCTGGGAGTTGAAGTCCATACAACTTAAAGTTGCCAAGGTTGAGAAACACAGAGAAGTTGGATAGGTTTAACACAGAGAAGATGGATAGGTTTAGCATTTTCCCCAGCCAGCATGCTGGCTGGGGAAAATGCTAAACCTATCCATCTTCTCTGTGTTAAACCTATCCAACTTCTCTGTGTTTCTCAACCTTGGCAACTTTAAGTTGTATGGACTTCAACTCCCAGAATTCCCCAGCCAGCCATGCTGGCTGGGGAATTCTGGGAGTTGAAGTCCATACAACTTAAAGTTGCCAAGGTTGAGAAACACAGAGAAGTTGGATAGGTTTAACACAGAGAAGATGGATAGGTTTAGCATTTTATCATTGTAGCAGTGTTATTTTCATTGTGATTGTAAACTTTTCACAGTGTGTACTGATATTATTGCTTCTGTATAATTTTCACTGTTAATCTTCGAGGGTGGTTTAGACTGTGCCCCAGGGTGGGGGGAGAGGGCCTTATAAATAAATGTTTTGCTTGTAATTAGACATGGGGTAACGCCAACCATAATATAACCCATAATATAGGCCCTACCATGGATGTGTGTGTGTGTATACAGAATAAAACACTGATGTTAGCCATATTCCAGAACCTGCAAAAATAATTCTTTCATCATCGGTGAGCTGAATTACTTTGTAGACCCGAGGGATGCTAAATTTCCACCCATTTATTCTTAATCGACTTATATAAAAGTTCCATAATTGCCCACCCACAGTACTCCAAAACTGCTGTTTCCCACCAATTGTAATTTTCCAGGGTCTAAGGCAGAGGAGGGTCTTTTCTCAGCAGGTGCTTGCCAGGGCTCCTTTTTAGCTGAAAATGCTAGAGACTCAACCTGGCACGGCTTCCGCATACAGCAGGGGCCAAAGTTCTGGCTCCCCCCCCCCCCGGCTGCCCCAAAGCAGAGAGGAATCGCCCTGAATGCAAACTGAAGGGCTCAGCCTGTTCCTACCATCGGCGGCCACTGCAACCGAGCTCTGAGTGGCGGTGCAGAAAACAGCTGGTGCCTGGTGTTGAACTGCAATGCAGATCCCGCCTGGGATTCTTGCAGTAAACCCTGCAGTTTACTGGGGTCAGAAAAAGCTACTCAGCATCTGCAGAGCTGCATGGGGTCTCTGGATCAAGAGTTATCAGCCGAGGAGGCAAATGAGGACATGGCAGGAGAGCACAGAGCTCCCACCCCACCCCACCCCACCGCTAGCATTTTTAGATGGACCCAAAACTCAGCTGCCTTTCAGCAGGCAAATGCTGGGTGAGCCAGCTAACCCCAGAGGAAGACGCCTTTCCCCTTGCCCAGTGAATTTTTCTATTCTCTCCTAGCGTTAGAAAAAGGCATTTCTCATTCTTTCTAATGCGGTGCCTTGCAAGTGGGTTAAATGTGGCCCAAAGCCACACTGGCTACATTCCTCCCCTTTCTCTTTCTGCCCTGGTCAGATCACACCATGAGTATTGCATCCAGTTCTGGAGGCTGTATTTTAGGAGGGACACTGACAAATTGGTGCCTGTCCTGAGGAGAGCTACCAGGGTAATAAGGGACTAGAAGAGAAAAGTGTTCAGGAACGATTGGATGCACTGGGTGCATTTAGCAAAGAGATGACTGCAGGAAGACATGAGAACCGTCTTTGTGTATCTGAAGAGAGTGGTGTAGAACAGTGTTCCTCAACCTTGGGTACTTGAAGATGTGTGGACTTCAACTCCCAAAATTCTGGGAGTTGAAGTCCACACATCTTCAAGTA